GGTAAATAGCGTCCCTCTTCTGGGCCTCCCAGGGACAATTCAGAGGTTTACTCACTTCCTCAGTGTCCACACGGGATGGAGGCCCATCTGCCCTCACAACTCAACAAATCATGCTTTGATCAGCTTTTCCGCCCTCCTTTTTCCTGCTCCTTTCTCCTCAAGTCATTTCCCCAAATAGAGAACCTGCTTCTAAGCATCCCCAGGCTCTGCTTTGGAGGAAAATCAAACTAGCTCATGCCCAGTCTGTGGCTGCTGAGTCCTGCAAAGCAAAAGAAGAGGAGACTGGAGACGAAAAGTCCCACAATGCAACAGAACACTCAGGCTCTCCCCAAAGCCAGCAGCCTCTGCCCAGGGTTTATGTAGCAGTGCAGGACTCTTCTGAGAACAAATAATATCTTATCTACAACATAATGTAAGGTCCTCTATGGGATGCTGGAATCAAGAGAAAGTAAGTTCAAGAACCATTTAACTTGAAGAAGAGAGAGTATATAGTTCATTTAATAATAGCTTCATAAAACTAAAGAAATGGTGCTCACTCTTAGCTGAGGCAAGACGAAGAGAGGCTCAAGGCATTGTATTGCCAATCCAAAGGCAGGCAGGCAGAATCCATCAGCTGCTCTGCAGTAGAAAGATGGGCAATCTCCTCCCAAGTGATTTACAGCCTCTGAAAACCTGCTGGAGGGTCAGCTATGGAGTGATTCCAACTTGACGTCATGTAACAGACTTATGCTTGCATAGAAGGGGTCACAGTGGGAAGGTCAGTTCGCCTATCCCTGCTGCCAAGACGGTGAGTGGTATCCCCTTGGTGAAGTGATAAGCTGTCATAGGAGGCATTCAATTCATTGTCAGAGGCATTCCGCTCCCAACGGGGAGGACAAACTTCCTGGAACTAATGCGGATAGAATTTAATTTTTAGATAAAAAAGCTTACTCCCCCCCCCCTTTTTAGGGAACCTCCTTAAAAATCAGTATATTCTTTCAAATCCTATTTCGATAGTGTGGATCTGCCCCCAAAAGAGAGTGCTGGTTGATCTGTGTCCTCACAAACCTCCCAGTTTCTAGGACATCTACAATAGAATCAGGTTAGTTCTCATGGTAGCCAGACAGGTTGTGGTTTCATTAGGTCTTGGCACCACCTAGTGGCTAACTTATGCATTGCAAAGGATGCCTGGGCTAAAATAATTACCTGTAACATTGGACGAACATTGACTTACATTCACTGATTATTTCAATAAAAATATATTAAACACAAATTATGGGCTAATGTGTGCTAAAACTAGCACACCGGAAACCCAAAATCGGTGGCAATGAATATATATATATGGCAATGCAAAGCTGAGTCACCCAGATTCTGCACAGAACTTATTAAAATTGGTGCCTAACCGTGTAAACGTTCAGTGAAAATAAATTTTTTGCAAAAAAACTAGCATGTTTGTTACTTTGCCATTAACGTTTCTTGTAAGACACAATATGAATAGTTGTATGATAGTCCATCCAAAGATGCAATCTAACCAACTTTCTCTGTAATGCACTGTTTGAAGGGCCAATTCTTTCTTACTGTTTTTTCCTTTTTCAAGTGAAGGTTTACACAGCATATTGATTTTCATCCAATCATTCACACACATTGTTTTCTAATATCATTAATTGTAATGTGTCACTGAACTCACTGTATACTGCCTTTCCTGTTCTTACACATAGCAACCCTGTTAGAGGCTAAGAGGAGAACTCCTAATTTTCAGTGGAATTAATACTTCATCATTTCTTTTTTGAGGGATTTATACATCATACTGATTCTTCATGCAACCGTTCATAGGCCTTTTGTTTCATAACCTTAATTACTATTGACAGAGATACTCATTTGGTTCACAAGTCAAGACGGAGAAATCATGAATTACCTTTGGCCCAGCTCAACTCATTGAGTCAGAACAGACTCACAGCTAACCCTCCTGAGTTCTCTTGGGCTGTATATCGCGTGGGAGGAGATTGCCCATCTTTCTCCCAAGAAGCAACTGGGGGATTTGAACCACTTGCCTTTGGGTTGGCAGTGCAACTTCTTACCCACTAGGCCACCAGAGCTTCCTAAGTCCATCTCCCTTCATTGTTGCCTCAGCTAAGAGTGAGCACCTTCTCTTTAATAAAGTCAGGTATCAAATGAACCATTTTCCTCTCTCTTCTTCAAGCAAAATAATTCTTTAATTTTCCTTCTTGTTTCCAACATCTCATAGAGGATGCTCTGATGGCTTAGTGGCAAGAAGCTGCACTGTAATCCCAAAGGCACGCAGTTTGAATCCACCTGCTGCTCTGTGAGAGGATGGGCAGTCTCATCCCACGTGACTTCCTGCCTCTGAAAGCCTGCATGAGGGTCAGCTGTGGGCTGGTTCAACTCAACAGCACATAACCACCACCACTCTTGGCTCAAAGTTATGAAAATGCTGCGCTTCCTCTGGTCAAAAACTATTGGCCTAAAGTAAATCCCCAACCTGTCTTCACAAAGATCTGCTCTCCCAGAAATTTTTAATTGGGGCCTATACATACACACATCTCTATTTCTAAGGAATTTAGTGCAGCTATGGGCAACCCTATTTTCTAATGAGAAAAGAAAAGCAGAAACACCCAGATGCACAAACTGGCTTTCAAGAAGCAGCTGAGACAAGAGGAGTCTGTGACTTTGGCTGTCTGGTTTCAGTCCCTTCCTGAGGTCTATTACTACTTTCAGATTCAGGCAGGAGGGGTCCCCTGCTTTGGGACCCCCGCCCTACTCTCCTCTCTAACCAAGCCCTCCCTAAGGAGGCCGAGGAAGGTGCCCATCTGAAACTCTTATCTTGCCCTTCTGAATAATGCCACCAGTTACCACAGTCCTTGATCTACCAGCCCAAATGGTCCTCAAGTGAATCACTATGAATTGAATTATGTTCCTCCAAAACATATCTTGGATTCCTGACCCCTATACCTATGGATATAATTCTCTTTGGAAACAGTGTTGTTGTTTTTTAATGAATTCATATGAGCATTGAGTTTCTCCTAAACCTAATCACATCTGAGTAATTCCAAGAACAGCACAGAGACAGGGACGAAGCAAATACTAATTGGGAAGACAGAGGCTACATGAATGAAAACCACTGAGGAATGGAAGAACATGGTGGCCATGGAAGCCGAGGCCAAGGACCTTCCTCCAGACCTGACAGCAATAAAGTTTTTCTGAGAGCCAGTACACTCATTAGGACTTTCAGCCTTCCGAACTGCAAGAGAATGCATGGAAAGAACAGAATTCTTTGGAGCAAAATAGAAAGGAAAAAACCCACTAACTACATATTTAATCTTTCAAATCTCAGCTTCTTCTGATTCCAAGTCTAGTCTAGTCCTGCTAATTTATGAGAGGAAAATATGCAATTAGAAGTACAAGAGAGACATAAATGGAAACTGAAAGTTGAGTCACCTTGATCTTCTGCATGAAGGACACAACATGTGTAAAAATGAAATGACTCTGCTCTTCCGAGGGCCAGAGGTGAGACCTGTCCTTTATACTCTGCTCAAAGCTCAGGCAGACGATGCGAGGGCATTAGTGTATAAAAGCAACGTGACATTTCAGCTATCACCTTGCAGAGGCCGGTATTACACCATACAACCATAATCCAAAAATCATGTTCCTAACACATTGGTCTCACAAAGTGCTCTTTGCAAAAACATATTCTCAATAAAAAAGATTTCGAAAATACGACAACACTAGTAGTCACTTCCTAGAGATTCGCTCTGCCCATTATGGCAAACTATGGTGGCCTAGAGGTAAGAAGCTACGGTGCAATCCAAAAGACATGAGGTTCAAGTTCACCAGCTGCTCTGCGGGAGAAAGATGGGCAATTTCCTTCTGTACAACTTACTGTCTCTGAAAACCCACTGGTGGGTCAGCTTTGAGTCGGTTCCCACTCAATGGCACACAACATCATTATGGCGAGCAAGGTTCTCGAAGTCCTGTAATAAAGAAACACCTGCTTTCTTTTTAAGCCTGTTTCCCAAATCAACTTGATCTTGGGATCCCCCTTTTTTTTTTCTAGGGCAGTCTCCTATAATTGCACTTCAAGCCTATAAAGCCTGAGGTTGGGTGGCGAGGAGCCGGAACTAAGCTGCCAGTTGTCATGCAGCATGTTCTGGGAAATGCCCTTCTTTGGTTTGAGAAACATTTTGCAGAAACAAAGATCACAGAAAAATGTCCTAATTCCTAGAGTCACATGTTGGTCAGGGTGCAGTCACAAACTCACAGGCCCCCATTCTAATTCCAGCTATCAAAAAAGCAGGCAGCAACAAATTTTCCAAGATTCTTTTCCTTGCAATATAAACTCAACTCTTAATGCTGTCGAGCTGAAACTGACTTACATACAGCTGACCCTGAAGCAGGTTTCAGAGGCTGTCAATTATACAAGAGAGAGATCGCCCATCTTTCTCCCGTGGAGCAGCTGGTGGATTTGAACCACCTGCCTTTGCGTTGGCAGCACACCTCCTTACCCACCAGGCCACCAGAGCTCCCTCTGTGGTATAGAGTATCAGATGATGAAAATGGTTAACGGGGATTCACATTTCATAAAGATGCCAGTAATGTGTTGTTTCTTTCTCGTCTGTACAAATCAAATAAACTGGTGCTTATCACATGACTATAAGATTTTTCAAATAAACCTGACAGCTCCCAATTTTAATTTGTAAAAGGAGAGGCAGGTAGGGTGAGATGAAATGTAACACTTGAATTTCTTTTCAACAAGAACTGCACAAACCAAAACACTGATAATGTAAAGCTTTCGTTCTATGCAGCAAATAAACTTTTACAATAACGATTAAAACAAATGAGATTATCAAAATGATGTAAACATCTCAACCATTTTCACAATACATCATTTTTAATTGCTTCCAAGGAATTTCACATGAAATTTTGAAATAGAACACAGTGGAAACAAAACTCTTCAGTTGTGGAACCTGGCACAACCTAAACCCGGCTAGGATATAAAGTGGCACTCACACCTCAACAGCAATTCTCGCAAATCGGTACTGCAGGGAGGCGGAGGTCCTCAGTAACACCAAGCCCCTCTCATGAGCTGGCTGCCCGGCCAGCATATCCAGCAAGCCTGTCAAACTAACAAAGCCCAGGGCTTGTCCACGGCCCAACGCCATGGAATAATACCCCTGAGTGACGAAGCCCAGGAGAAGCCTGGAGCAGTGAGAAGTCACAGGTGGGAGTGGGCCTGACCACAGGCCTAGCGTTAAAGCTTCACGTCCAGGGGCAGATTCCTCTCCTGCCTGGTCCTTGGGAGCTGCATCCCCGCTCCGTCTCCGCCTCTTCTCCATCTTCTTCTTCTTCTGTTTCTGGAGCTGGCTCTTGAAGGGGTCTCCGTGTTTGGGTTCCTGGGGCCCGCAGTAGAGCCGATCCTGACGGAGATGCAGAAGGTCTTCGTCGGCCGGGACGCAGATCATGGTGTGCAGCTCTGGAATACCCTTGTGCAGCGGGGACAGGCTGACCCACACCAGCGCCCTGGGGAAGCAGCTCAGGATGGACATGCAGGCTTCCCGGGTCACGTCTTGCTGGCCTCTGCCAGGAGCTTGCCGGGCTGCCGCGTTTCCCCGAGAAAGAGGCCCACACCAGGCTGACAGCTGCCTCAGCAATTTTCTCTCCCTGCACAAAGTCGAAGGAAGACATACGTTTGAAGATATTTTGTTCAAAACCAAAAGTTTTTAAAAAAAAAAAAAGTAATTAGATGGGCATTGTTGTCAGGCATCCAGGCATCACTGTATGTGGGCTGCAATGCGGACAGAAGCACAGAGGAGTGTGGGGATGGCAGTGGGCAGGACGGGGTTTCATTCTACTGCAAAGTGTCTGCGAGTCACAGTCACCTCACGGGCACTTACCACCACCACACGGGAACGTCTCAAAATGACAATTCTCTAATGCCTAACAGACTAGTTGTTGCTGTTGTTGTGTATCATCAAGTCAGAGCCAACCCCTAGCTGACCCTCCAGCGGGTTTTCAGAGGCAGTAACCGCACGGGAGGAAATTGCCCATCCATCTCCCTAACACACACTAGTAGACCTTAGTCATAACTTTCTCTTTTCACACATCTTGTGGAAAGCTGGGGGGTTCCGTGAAAGAGGGGACGGCCCTCCATGAGATGGGCAGTGATGGGCTCAGGTGTGTACAGATGGCACCGGACAGCGCAGAGTTCACCTCTGTTGTTCACAGGTGACTATGAGTCACGTTCGGCTCGATGGTACCTAACAACAGCAGCAACTATTCCGAAACTGAAGAGCTAAAAGCTTAAGAAATTACGGCAGAAAAAAAAAAAAAATAAGACCTCGGGATTAGAAACCAGGGCTGTAAGACAGTGAGAGTAGAGCATGAAGAGGAGTACTAGTCAGGTGAACAGAGAAACTCTGAGTGAGAGCCAGTTCTACACACAGTTCAACTGAGAGGGAATATGAAACTATGAGGATGTCTCCTTTCTCCCAAAAGATTGACGGACTTGGAAATCCAATGGAATCAGCATGAGTCAAAATCAACTTGACAGCAATGTGGAGATAGGTAAAATAAGTAAGAGGGGTGACTACTCTTAAAATCCAAATTAACAAAACTAACAGCCAGCAGCAATATTGAGAATGAAGCCCACTGTTACAGGGAAGTTTCTGCGGTTTCACAATTATTACACTGGCTGGACTATGAATCTACCAAATTCAGGGAATTCAAAATGAACTAGAAAGAAAGTCTAGTTCAGAGGTTGAAAGGAAAACAATACTTGCTTACTGTGAAGCTCATTATCTAAGGGCAGACTTGTGACAGTACCACTTTGTGAACAAAGACAACATTAAATAGGTCACAGGCTGCTTGGGAGAAAAACTCAACTTTGGTTCCGATCTGCTGGTTATATTATTTCAAGCCATCTCATCGGTTAGTATCATGCCCCAAATCCAATTAACAAAGTGTTCTTTCACGCAATGAAGAATGGGTGTTCCTTTACAGAATCCATAAATTCACTTGGACTTTGCATAAAGGAATATAAGTTACTTTTACAGCCTGTTCAGTGGTAACAGAAGCTATCAAAATTTTAAGTCCTATACTCTTACCTGACCACACACGGGAGACCACGAGGGGCAGCAATGCAGTTCTCAGCAGCAGTCTGGCCCCTCGCCAAGTCCGTCCCTGGCCGGTCTTGACCCTCTACGTCCATTTCTTCCAGCTCTCTGGGTTCATTTACAGATCGCTTAAGAGTTTCTTCAGGTGTAACTGCACAAAGCATCTCATCTGTTCTCATGTTACTCTCTTCACTGGATGGAGACGTGGCTGCAGAAGACTCTTCCAGCTCTCTGGGTTCATTTACAGATCGCTTAAGAGTTTCTTCAGGTGTAACGGCACAAAGCATCTCATCTGTTCTCATGTTACTCTCTTCACTGGATGGAGACATGGCTGCAGAAGACTCTTCCAGCTCTCTGGGTTCATTTACAGATCGCTTAAGAGTTTCTTCAGGTGTAACTGCACAAAGCATCTCATCTGTCCTCATGTCACTCTCTTCACTGGATGGAGACGTGGCTGCAGAAGACTCTTCCTGGGTCTGTACTCTTGATTCCCAATCTTGAGTCAGCTGTGCCCAGGGACAGCAGAAAGGGGCCAAAGTGCCAAGCTTAACGTAGTTGGGCCGTTTGGCTGGAGGGCGTCTAATAAAAAACAAAACCAACAACCAACTTTGAACAATTTAGTACTGAACAACTAAAGAGCCGCACGTGGCCACGTTTGACGTCATTCCTGAAAGATAGTAAGGAAGTGGCCACCCTCAGGTTGTTTGATGACTCTGTTTATTTCCAAGTTCAAAAGCCAAAAGGTCCAGAAGTGGTTACAGTGAGTTTCTCTCTCCTCATTTCTGTGACCAAGTTACCCTCTACACAGTCACCATCAGCTCCTCATATATTCCACCAGAGGCCTTTGAACGTGGAAGCAAATAAGTAAATCTTCTCACTCTCATTTTTAGACAAAAATGGTTTTGTTTCCTTCCCTACTGGGATGTTTATCTGTTCTTATGGCCTAATGGTAAGTAGCTGTGCTGCAACCCCAAAGGCACACAGTTCAAATCCACCAGCTGCTCTGCAGGAAGAAAATGGGCAGTCTCCTTTCATGTGATTTACTGCCTCTGAAAACCCACTGGAGGGTCAGCTATGAGTATGAGTTGGCTCCTTCTCAATGGCAAAACAACACGAACATATTGATTTTAAGAACTTTCTTTAACCCTTCCTCATATACTGAGAGGGACTTGGTGGTAAGCTCTTGGCTGCTAACCATAAGGTCGGCAGTTGAAGCCCACTATCTGCTCTGAGGGAGAAGGACGGTAGGATGTTTCTGTAATGACTCCAGGCTTAGAAACCTTATGGGACAGTTCTACACATACAAGGAACGGTTGAGAATAAAGCTTGTGAAAAAATCAACACAGGAATAAATAAATATCTCAATAGGAAAAGGGATACAAAATTGTGAACAATGCATAATAATCAAGCTCACTGATGAACAAATAGGGAGCTCTGGTGGCCTAGCAGATAAGGAGATGTACTGCCAACCCAAATGCAGGAGGTTTGAATCCACCAGCTGCTCATCAGGAGAAAGACCTCCTGTGCAACTTCCTGCCTCTGAAAACCCACTGGAGAGTCAGCTATGAGTGGTTCTGACTTGACAGCACCAAACAACAACGAACAAATCCATAAACACGGATACACACACAAATACCCCTTACTCATCAACTGGTTTAGACTCTGAAGACCAGGTTATTATGCTCCAATCAGCCTTATGCAAAAATGGAAGCTGGTCACATCAGATCACAAAATAGTAGAGAATGCCATCAGTGACATCACGTAACTTCCAGACCATGGAAAATCATGGCACAGGGCGACACATAACCTCACAGCCAGAATCCCTCTGCCTTCACACCTCGGGGTTCAACTCTGCCAGACACGCACTACTAATGCACAAAATGGGGCTGTTTTTCATCTGTTGTCTTAAATGCAAAAGGTCAAGTAATTAGAACAGGTAAGTGGGGAACTGGTGTTCCAATCACAGACCTGCTAGCTAGCACCTGAGCACTTTAATGACTGTGCCATCAGGGTTCCTTCAGGCACAGGCACAAAACAAAACAAAACAGTCGTATGTGGGGTTTTCTCATCTGTCAGTTAAAAGACTGCTAATATCCTGTATTGGTGAGAATGAGGGGGAAATGTTGTGAGGTGTCATCAAGTCGAGCACAACACATAGTAACCCTCTGCATAACAGTCGTCTCCTGTGCTGTCCTCACCACCTCTGACCCACTCACGCCACTGCTGCAGTCACTGTGTCAATCTATCTGGGCACGGGTCTTCCTCTCATTTGTTGTCCCACCACATAGGCACCCCCATGCTGTCGCTAGGTGCTGGGGAGTCACCTGTGTCTCACAGCCACCCTAGGAACCCTGCTTTATTCACTGTGTAATACATCCTGTTGAGGATGTTCCTGGGTCATGTTATGTGCTGCAGAGCCAGAACCAAGTCATAGCAGATCCTCCAGTAGTTTTTCAGAGGCTGTAAACTGCATATAGGAGGAGACTGCCGACCCACAGAGCAGCTGGAGGATTTGAACCACCTGCCTCTGGGTTGGTGGTAGCTTCTTACCACTAGGCCACCAGAGTTCCCTTCTTACATCATAGTTACAGTAAATCAGCACAAAGATTTTGAATAGCAATTTGCAAACAGCGTATCAACAGTCTTAAAACAGTCATCTCATTTTAACCTGTAATTGTGCTTACAGGAATTCAGCCTAAGGAGATGGTCTCAAGCTCTGCATCTCCTGTAATAGCCCCTCTTGAGCGATAAGCTATTTTTCCCCCAGCCTCTGGGTGAACACAAGTCCTTGCTCCTCACCGGCGCTCTCCACCGTTTTTATTGATATCTCAGCTCCCCTCTTCACTCTAAGGCTCCTAGACTCCCCAGGCCCTCCCACTGCCCTGTGTCCACCCTTCCCTCCTCCACGACTCCTGCCAGCATTCTCATCAGCTTCAGCACCTACACAAATCATCCTCCAAACACCCTGACCTCTCCATTCCCAACACCATCGCTTCTGATCTGTCACCTTATCAGACATGGCGGCCAACAAGAAGCCAATCAGTGTCTTACCTTTTGTACTTTTCAAGAAGCTCCTCAGCTTGCTCTTCGGCAAACAGAACCCCAGCAGGGCAGTCTGGGAAATCACCTGGGATGTTAGGGGACCTTTTATACTGAGTATGCATCAAGCCCTCTTTTAATCCTCCCACTCTGGCGCCTCGATAGATCTAAAAGAAACATCGAAAGGTCCTGTCAATTTTCCTACTGAAGGTAAAATTGCTTCAGGGATTTGTACAGGAAAAACTGCAAACAACCAAAATGTCCACTAAGAGGAGAACAAGGTATTCAGTGGGTTACCACACAATAACAAAATTGAATGAAATAGAGCTTATCCATCAACATGGAAAAATCTGAGGGCTAAGTATCTCCCCTCCAAAACCTCACTGCCGTCGAGTCGGAATCAACTCCTAGCTGACCCACCGGTGGGTTTTTAAAGGCTGTAAACTGCATGGGACAAGACTATCCATCTTTCTCTCACAGAGTTAACTAGGGGATTTGAACTGTGTACCTTTGGACTGGTAGTGCACCTTCCTACAGACTAGGCTACCAGAGCTCCTTAAGTGAATACAGTTAAGTTCCAAAACGATATAGAGTAAAATGCATAGTTTAAAAACATGTCCAACACAGTTATTTTTTTATACAAACATAATTAATAAAGCTACAAAAATATGCATGATAGTGACACACCAAAATTAGAGGTGGTTTTAAAGGAAAGAGGGAGGGAAATGGGACTTGAGAGAGGCTACACAGAGTACTTCAAAGAAATTTGTAATATTTCTTTTCCAGGCTGGTGAGGGGTGAAGGCATTCATTCTCACAGCGTCAGAGTTTCTGCTTGAAATATTCAATTTTTAAAAAATTAAGTAGAATTATTTTAAAATATCTCTACCTCAAATGATTAAACTAATCAGGTGGGGAAAAAAATCAACAAAACCCTATTCAATTTTAATAAAAGTTTTTGTTACAGTAGATAAAACTACAAGTATATGGTTAACATTTTAAGACAAAAAAGGTATTTAATACATGTGTGTATGTTAGATCTTTTTAAACTCTTAAGAAATTTCTTCAACTTGAGAAATTCGGTATTTTGTTGCCTCTATTACTGAACTATCAGGCCACTTTTAAAAGCCTCAAAAATATTACAAGGTAGCAGGCAGAACTGGTTCTAAGAACTGGACTTATGAACTCCCTTTCATCTAGAATTATGCTCTAATGACAGAAAAATACCCCTTTATTTCTAGGTTATGCATAGGTCTGAACATCTCTCAGCACCTAGTATTTATTAGGAATGTATTTTAAACATTGCAACAAAGAATAACAAAAGGCAACTTACAAATGGGATCCAGAAAGCCATGCCCCAGCCCTTTGGGAGAAGAATGTCCCAACCACTTCCCCATCCTAGTCGGTCTTCACCAGTTACTGTTCCTGGCTGTTGAATCAAAAGTACAGGTATCTTGGATTCCTGGGGACCCAAGACAAGTTGCGACCCAGGCACCGGCAATTCGCTTCTTTTCCGGTTTAAGTCCTAAAGTGGAAGAGAACCATTCAAGACAAACAACCCTGGTCTTTGGGAAGATTCTAGTGGGTCTCCCTATAAAGCAGCTTAAAAGTTAAAATACCTTCCTAAAGGCAAGGGGAAAGAGGATACGCAAGAAATAAATGAGCTATTTTAAGTACACGATACCTATCCTGTAACAAAGTTTGTTTTCTACACAAGTGCCAAATTATCTTAAGCATCCTGCTAAATTTGGGCTATAATATATTCACTGATTCAGAGTGAAAAATTACACACATTCATTCTACTAGTCTCTAATATCAAGATATCCTTATGCCCTGATACTCCGTGCGTGCCTATATTTAAGACTTTTTGTAATGTAATAAAAAGCTATAGTGACATCTCAAGAAGGGACAGAAGAAAAATACAGTGGCTCTTGAGCATTTTTCAAAACTGCTTGAGAACTTAAGATAGAAAACTCTAAAAATTATTTGTTAAACAGAATACAGGAAGTAGATAGCAACAAAACCTCTTAGATGAGAGAGAGGCCAAAAGAAATTTTGATTTAGAAAATTACACAAAGATTACCCACGTGCTAAAGTCTAATGGCTCCCTCATGAATGTTCTTCAAACCCTGACCAAGTTCTAATTCTTGTTTACCTTTGCTTCGCTCTCCACCACTATTTGTATGCTGACGATTCCAGTGTATCTCTCTAGCCCAGTCCTTTCCTCCCTGAACAGAAAACTGTTTCTCAGACATCTGTTTCTGGGAGATCCCACGTTCCCGGTGGCTGTCTGGGTGACTCCAGCTCATGCCGACCCCATGTCCAACAGAACGGAATGCTCCCTGGTCCACCACCATCTTCATAAGCAGTAGTATGCTCCAGTCTCTTGTTCAGCCACTGTGGATTCTGAGTACCTTCTACCCTAGGGCACACATCTTCTAGCACTATATTAGAGAATATTCTGCTGTGCGTCCTTGGTTTTTCATTGGCTACTTTTAAAAAATAGATCGCTAGGCAATGGACCTTCCTTCCTATTTTGTCTTACGCTAAACGTTCCCACCATGGGAAAGCCTCGACTGGTACTGGAAATTCCAACATGAGATTAGCATTCAAGACACCACAGTCCAACAAACTAAAAGATAGTTGGTGGGAAATCCTATGCCCCTCAAATCCAACACATCTGGGACTAAACTCTTTCACACCATAATTATATCCTCCTGTATTCTTCATAGTTGAATGAAGCCAAAATGTGCAGTTCATCTGAACATCTTTTATGTGTCAAGTACTTTTTTAGAATCTGGGAATACAACAGTGGTTCTTGGTTCTCCTTTACTTGATATCCTAAACTCAAGTTAGATTATTAGGAGTTAGCCTCTTCATGTCTTACCTCCCATCTTCCCACCAATTGCCAAGTCTTGTTAATTTCCTCTCCAAAAATATGTATGAAGCCACATTCCCTTCACTCTAGGTCCCTTGGCCAACACCATCATTCAGGTGCCCAGCATGTCACACCTGAACTGTGTCAAGGGCTCTGGACGTCATCCAACTGCTAGTCTTCTCTCTAGCTCTGCTCCTCCCCATCCCATGACATTCTTCATCTATTCCTTTCTCCAGACTATGACCTGAATGAAATCTGATGTTACGGTTCTGCTTAAAACCTTCTCTTCAAAATGCAATTCAAGGCCTTTTAAATGGTTCAAGACCTTTTATAACAGGTCTCTACTTAGCTCTCCAATTTCATTTCCTGCCCCATCCTCAATGTCAAGCTACTGACAAATCTGAGATGCACAAGAACATCGTCCTCTTTTGTCCTGGGTCTGGCCTGGGTCCTTGGACATGCTATTCTCACTTTCTGCAATCTTTTCTCACTCTTGCCCCTGCCCTTAACGAAGTCTGGTTGCTCTGACTATGGATCAGAGAGTCAGTTCTAATACTAATCTCTCTATTCTCCAAGTTCCCTAATCTAGGTTCTGTACTCCTTTAGGCTTCCCTAGTACTCTGTAACTTAAACTGCATTCTATTCATCTATCTCATCATCTATTAGAGTGTTCAGCCCCTGGGAAGTGTTCAAAACTGTCAAATACACTTAAGGAAGAAAGAAAGAAAAGGAAAAAAGAAAAACCCAAAACCTCAAAACATATACTTAAATGATTTGGCTATAATTACAAGAAAAAGGTTTTGTTCAACTTAGAGACAGTCTATCCCACAACAAGGAGGGGGAAAAATCATAGCCTGGATCCTAAGGAAAGGATCAATAAGTGGTCTGAAAATGAGAGGCAGTCCATGAGATTCTTTAAAGCATGAAATAACTCTTGACAGTTTTGGGAACTTTCACCTGCCAGTTACCTGATCCGAGATTTTATTCTCTGTGACACTCTTACAGACAGCTTGGTTCCAGATAAAGCTATGCGCACACTCCACAGGCACACCTTCCAGAAGCAGCTGTCTAATTTTCTCATTATCTAAGAGGGAAAAGAAAGAGCCTTCAAACCGCATCCTTTAGATCAATGACGTCAAACTCCAAGTCACCAGTAGACCGTGTTTGGTTATGCAAGAAAGTATCTCACAGGCATTTGCTTAACTTCTCTAGCAGATGACATCTGAGAAAAACTGGGTTATTCTTATAGCATGTTTCATAATTTGTGAACCAACAAAGGCACTGAATTTTTCTTCTTGTGACATTTAATTTTCAGATGTAAAAGCATGCAAACATCCTATTAAACTGCCTCTGTGAATCAGGGCTTCAAAGAGGTTCAGTCCAGCTCATATTCCTAAGAGGTTTTCTTTTCCACCCTAAATATACTGCATCAAAAGCTACATTTTAAAAAGATTTATATATAAAAGTCACCTGAGGATCTTGTTAAAAGGTAGATTTTGATCCGGTATAACTGGAGTGGAAAGGTAAGTTCTGAGCAGGGGATGGAATCTGAATGAACCAGTGTGGAGCCCTGCTGTGAGTCACTACCCCATCTTGCACTCATTGTAAAACATTGCCGTTTCTCTTTTAAACAAGTCACATAATACAGAAAGTACTCTCAGGGAGAAGGTAAAGGAACTTCTTCCAGTTGCAAATACATACACTAACAGAGGAGATTTCTTAGATACTCTGTTTCATTCTGTTAAACTGAAAAATTAAAAGAGCAAGCAAACAAATTAACAAGCAAACAAAAAATCCAGCCAATTTCTGGGCAATGGTTCTAAAATGCCAACACAGAAAGGTCACTCAAAGTCACCTACCTGTGTGAATCTCATGGCTAGAGGTAAAAAAAATAAGAAGGGAGCAGGACGAAGCAAGTGCCAGAGAGGGACAGATTTCAGAGAAAGGCAGAGTTAAAAGACAATTCAAGTGATGCAAAGTGCTGAGCTTCAAGCTCCTTAAAGGCATCTAGTGCACCACTCTTCCCCAGAGACAACAGACAAGGGCATCTCAGGTGACACGTGCTATGAATGGTCACCCACAGCCTACCCAGGAGCAAGAAACTCCATTTCCAACAGCCTATCAGAACTCTTAGCTTGCAGAGCACGGCTACAGGTTTGAGTAATGGGATTTGCATGTCATTCCTGTCGGGCTGCAGACAAAAGACACGGTTACATCCTAGGGTATGAACATACTAGAAAAAACTAACTTCTCTTCAGAGAGCCCTTAAAAATATGAAAATGAAAAATAAATAGCGTATATCTTAAGGTAAAAGGAAAGATGATTTCTGTCAATAGTCCTCACAGGTGAAGGAAAAGAACATTACACAGTCAGTGTGCACCTCAGCGTGCAGAGAAGCATCAATTCCGGATATAATTTTTGTAAGTCTTGTCCCTAACACTAACATAAAGCATTTTCTCTTCCATATCCTGACAAAGTTTTCTCATTAACTGCATTAAAGGTTGAATGAAATGGCTTGCTTTTCTGCTTTCTTAGATGTGCGTTTAGGACTGTATCACTTGGGAAATAAAACCAAAGTTACAGCCTTCATATTCATTCTATCTTTAGTTAAATATGTTAGAGGGGACTCTTTAGGCGCTAATAAAGCTCTTGGATTTTATTTTTCCCCCCTCAAAAACAAAATCAAGAAACCATGGCAATATGGATACCCAGAAAGCAAGGTAAGCATGAATTTACACGTGCTTATTTACTAATCTGCAATAAAGGCCAACATGGTTTTCACCACAAAGTCTACACAAATTGTCAGCACAGAGTCAGAACCTCCCAGCCAATCTCCAGGCCTTATTTACTGAGTATCTGCCTCTGATATGGCCGGGACCAGGGCACTTCTGAAAGTGAACTGCAGATTCATGCTCTAAATATGGTAGTACTAACTCTGTGAAGAGTGAAGACAAAAGCTACCAAAATGAAAAGGGTGATCTCTGATCTACCATTCTAAAAAGAACAGGGCTTTCTGTGTTTGGGGAAGTATGGTAAGGCCACACTATCAAACAATATTTAAAGAGAGATTAAAACAAGCCCAGAACTGTAACAGATGTTCAATAGTTTGTAAAACAAAATTTACCTCTGACAGATAAGGATTTGGGCAGGGGGCGAGGGGAATCAAAGCAAATATGAAGGACAGCAAATAATAAAAAAACCATATAGCAGTAACAGTATTTTTAAATCTCAATCAGAAAACCAATTACTTGCATGGAAAAATGCTGTTAATTTAAAAAGTACATAATTCAAACAAGCTCAAGAGCAAAATGATCAAGTACACTTTTTAAAAGTATCTGAGAATATGTAACCAATCACTTCAAGTTCTTCACAGACTCTTCAGAGTATTCTATTTCCCAGGTCCTAAGAGTCTGTGTCATCCAAATCAGGTATGGTTGCCTCCTCTTTCTTCTTCTTAAGCAAATGGTATTAATTTATCTAGATAATCAAAGTCTATTTCTAACATTACAATGATGACTTTGGAGTTACCATTGTAGATGTGCTATGGTTGTTAATAACGCAATGTTGTAGATGTTTCACTGTTAATAATACTGCACCGTAGATGTGTATGGTTGTTAGCAGTAGACAATATTAGCTCCTTTTAGGAGTTTACTTTATAGAGTTCACATGCCAAATACATCTTCAAAGAAAATTACTTAAACCAGGTTTTAATGAGAGATCACAGCAGGAGCGATCACAGAAAGCTTCTAGAGTAGAAATTAAGTCATGCTTTTCAAGATAGATTTTAATTTTCCTTGAAGTGATCCCGATTAAGATTAAAGCCTTACAAAAAATTTAATACCTAAGCACCCATTCCAAAAAATAGAACAGGAGGCAGCAAAGAAAGCCAACATTTACGTGTATGTGTTTATTAGACATACAAGAAGTACATTTCAGAAAAGCAGACATTGTAACTTTTACGGTTGCTTTAATCTTTAACCTATTAATAAAAAAAGAAAGAGGCAACCGCTCTCTGAATTTTAGACCTTATAATTAACTACCTGACCATCCTTTCTCCAAGCTCTCTCATCTCATCCAACTTTCATGTGAAGTTCTGACAGTCATTTATTATCGCTGTTAATAAGCTATCTAAGTACATGTGGTGAGGTAAAAACCTGTGAAGTTGTTAGTACATACACCTGTACTTTTCTACAGACATTCTCAAGCCTAATTCCAATTATCCTTCCAATTAAATATGTTTTAATGACAGTAAACATGATGACACAAACTCTGCACATGCAAAAAAACCCCAACATTTTTGCCAACCTCTATCCACTTTGCTACCCCCAACCCAGAAACTCTCTCGGGCACTCAAGTCAGTCTAAAGCAGGCATCCTTAGACCTTAGCACCTGCGATGGCCTTGCCAGGATTCGAACCTGGATCATCTGTATGGTCAGACAGAGGCTTCCACTGAGCACAAGACCAGCTGCAGGTGCAGATCCCTTCCTCACAATTACAACTCAGAAACGTCAGTGGTTTTCATAGAACCTGGTCTATAGAGAGAAAAGTTGTACTAAATACTACATAAATAGAGTTCATAAAAAAGAATGTAAGAATCAGGTTACATGTTTTATAGCTAGAAAATAAAACCTCCTTCAACTATAATTATCCTGTGATCCAGGCAAGTAAAGCCTACCCTCATGATTTATAGATGGAAGTTTTTTAGGAGTCAGACAGAACTCCCCCACTGGACTGCTCACCATAACAAGGACATCAAGGGTTGTTTGAAGGACTTTACCTTGACATTTTTCTGGATTAGGTAAAGCTTTGGACCTCTTCTGAGGCAAATTTATTCGAGGATCACCAACCGTCAGACCCAGAACAGTACCTGCAGCAATTCCTGCTGGTGATGTTACTCCTTTAAAAAGAACAACAAAAACTTTCCAGTAAGTGATTTGCAGTAAATACACATTTTATAATGAAACTTTCCTCTTTAAAACTGACCCTCTGCATTCACTTCTCCCACTGGTACTTTCTGAGAATAAAGCAACATTCATAAAATAACTAGAGTTTCTTACAAAAAAATAAAAAACTAACATAAAACAGCATTTTCATAATATTTTAAAACATGAATATCTTATCAATAGTTAGGGAGCTCTAGTGGCCTAGTGGCAAGAAACTGTGCTGCAATCCCAAAGGTACGCGCTTCAAGGCCACCAGCTGCTCCGCAGAAGGATGGACAATCTCCTCCGGTGCGATTAACTACCTCTGAAAACCCACTGAGGGTCAGTTCAGATTCTACAGTAAGCAACAACACAACATAGTAGCTATGGGTACAGCGCAACTATGTATAGATAGTACAGATTTTAATATATGCATTTACCTATCCCAGAATGTCAGCTACTCAGAATATTAATATCTCATTTACTTATTCCATAAACAAGCGTAAGAAGTATTCTATTCAATGAGCTTTTAATCTCTCTCTTAATGGCTTGCAGTCAGGAAATCTAAAGATGTTACACTCGGCAAATGTGTCGTCAAGGACCTGTTTAAAAAGTTTAAAGTTTAAAGCTAAAGAGTAAGGAGTCAGGTTAAAGACTAAGGTGCTGTGTGGTATTTTCAACTGCTCTGCAAACACATAAAAGCTGGACAGAATAAGGAAGACTTATTGATGCCCTGTGGTGTTGATGAAGAGTACTGATTATGACAGGGACTGCCAAAAGAACACACAAATCTGTCTCAGAGAGAGTGAAACCTGATTGCTCTCTGGAGACAGGGATGGCGAGACTTCTCACGTATTTTGGGATTGTTGTCAAGAGGTACCTGTCCTTGGAAAAAGTTATGCTGGAAAAAGCAGACAGCTGGCAAAAGAGGAAGATCCTCAAGGAGACAGTGACTACAACGAGTCTGAGCATGACGGAGACTGAGGATGGCGCAAGACAGGGTTAGGCTTCTACCTGGGTCGCTCTAACCGCCAGTCAACTCGATGGCACCTGACAACAACTTAACTGCTTCTCTTGCTATGTTAGAGCACACTGCTGCAATTTAAAAAGCACCATTATATAAAAGTAGATTCCTCAGGTGGTGCAAATAGTTAAGTAACTGGCTATCAAGTGAATGGGTGGAGGTTTGAATACACCCAAAGGCACTTCAGAGAAAGGCCTAGTGATCTACTCCCAAAACCATCAGTGACTGAAAACGCTACCTAGAGCACACTTCTGCTTTGACACACAGGAATTTCTAGCAGTCAGAACGGATTCTGTGGCAGGTGCTACTGGTATTACACACGTAGGATGCCCAACTGTAAACTGCCCTTAACCCACTTCCCCTCCTCCTCACACAAGCCAGAATTCCCTCTCCATGTTGTTGTTGTTATGTGACCCTATGTACAATAGCCCTAAACTCTGCTCTGTCCTGTGCCAATCACACTGTCTCTGACACTCCCATCCTGATTACCCCAGTCACTGAATCAATCCACCTCATAGAGGGCCTTCCCCTCCTGCGCCATCCCTCCATCCTACCACGCATGATGTCCCTCTCTAAGGACCGGTCTCTCCTTACAACATGTCCAAAGTATGTCAGACAAAGCCTCAGAATCCTTGCCTCCAAGGAGCCACCCGGTTTAACCCTCTCCAGGATGGATCTGTTTGTTTTCCCTCTCCATACCTCCCAACAATTCAAGAATGGCTTCTTGTTTGCGGTGAAGAGAAATGTTATCAGGATTCTTACAGGCCTCAACCCACCAACTGTGAGGTGTCTTCTGTGTATCTTCTTCCTGAAAAATAGTAATTAACATGACAAATAACGAATCAGACTCTTAATAATCTTATTATTTATTTTGATTGTGAAATTGGCTCTACTCTCTTCCCTTATGGGGGGGAGAGAGACAGACAGACAGAAATACAGAGAATGTCTCATGGGGGGGACCAGGAAAGTTCCAATTCTATTTAATATGATAATTAAAACGGATTAAGTACTTTCCTAATCCTCTCTCTCATTGTGGCTGAGGCAGAACTGACCCACAGCTGACCCTCCACTGGCTTTCCCACACTAAGAACTGCACAGGAGGGAACTGCCCATCTTTCCTCACAGAGCTGCTGGGGCTTCACATCACCTGAGAGTCTTCTAAATAGAGGCAAACAGAAAGCCGTCCCTGCTGCAGCGTCCAATCTAGCTGGCAGCGACCCTACAGGACACGAAGTAGAACTGCCCAGGACATTTCTAAGACTTCAGTCATTACAGAAGCAGAGTGCCCCATCTTCTTACCCAAAGAGCATGTATGGGTTCAAAGAAATGACTTCCAAGTACTTACCAATGCAGAACCAGGGTTCCTTAATTAGAGTCAAGACAACAATATTACACTTCTCTTCTGGTTCTTTTTTTTGAAGGGCATGATAGTTTATTTTTTTTTAAATTATCCCAAGCTGATCACCATGACAAACATATACATTATGATGGCTTTTCTCTTAGGTATTCACACCACAGTACTTTTACACACTGAAATGTTTCAATAGGACCATGAATGTTAGAGAAATAAGAATCTCAGATGGAAATGAGTGTTAATAATCTTCTGATTCCTTTTTAAAGCTCTCTGGGGGCCATGGTACGGAATGTGCTGTGCTAATTAAATTATCCAGGAGAAAAAGGTAATACTTTACAGCCTTGAAACCCTGATGGAGGATGGCCAGGAGCCAGAACTGGCAAATTGATAGTAGGTTTTCATAAGATATTAAACAATTAGAAACAAAAAAATACTGTAACAATCTCTTATCAAACCCACACTTGGTTCCTAACTTATTTATCCATTTAACTTCCTATCATCTGTACTGAAAAGCACAGGCAGGGAAGGTTAATTGCATTAGCAGAGGAAACCAAAGGGCCTGAACCTAGAGTGTTTGGGTCTCTGCTTTCTAGACCTACAGTATCTCATATGGTAGCCATTAGCCACAGACTCAAATATTGTTCACCAGAGCCAAACAGTGAAAGCAATCTAAACACCCATCAAGGGATAAGTATATAAACAAAATGCAGTACATACTCATAACGGAACACTGCCAAGATAATAGGGAGCTCTGGTAGCTTAATGATAAGGAGTTGTACTGCTAACCCAAAGGCATGCAGTTCAAATCCACCAGCTGCTCCATGGGAGAAGGATGGGCAATCGCTTCTCATGCAATTTATAGCCTTTGAAAACCCAGTGGTGGATCAGCTTTGGACTAGATGGTACATGACAACCGCCCAGTCAATAGGAAAACGGAAGTCTTGAAATAGACAACAGTAGGGGTGGAGCTTAAAGACTGTGCGAAGTGAAATAAGCCAATCACAAAAGGCCAAATATGTGATGACTTCAATTATAGAAAAAGACAAGGCAAACGCAGACAGGGCAGCACTGTCCCAGAGGGTCTCCAAGGCTATAATCATCAAGGAAGCAGAATGCCATGTTTTGCAAAAGGAATAGATGAGAGATTCAAACCACAAACTTTTGGTTAACAGCAGAGCTTAACTACTTAACAACTGCACCACGAGGGCTTAAGTATGTATCGGATTTCACAAATTTGCTAGAATGACATTACAACAACAAAACACTCCAGTGTGTGAGTTACCCTTACAGTGAGGACAGCAGCAGCTTTTAGTGCCTCCGTGAGGATGCAGTGGGAGAGGGGACCAATCAACCGGTATCTGTTCATCTCCATCGTCAGATCACTAAAATAAAGGAAAGAACTTCAAGTGGAAATACCCATCACATACAGAGTCCTTTCAACTGCAGAAATGCAGCAAGGCTTAAAACATGCAGTTAAGTTCCAAGCAAATTCAGCCTGTACCTGATCACAATGCCCGTGGTCGGCGACACCCAGGAGCGTGGCTGGTCTGAATCTCTAGTTCTGTCCCCAAAAGCTTTTTTAACTGGTTGAGCATTTTCTCCATCATCTTCCCGCTTCCTTTTCTTGCCAATTTTCTCATCAGACAGTTGAGTTTGGCTTTTTTCTTGGGGTTTTGTCAGAAGGTGGTCAGGGGTGCAGAGAGTTGGTCTGACGGGTTCCGTACACTCGCACGTTGTCTTCAATTCTCCTAAGATCTCCTGAGGACATAAAGGAAAAAAACTTCCTTTTAAATTTAAGCCAATTACAGATTTACCCAATTTGGAAAAATTTCATCATTACTGATCTGATCCTCACTCATAGTAAGCCTCCAGGAAGTTTCCAAGGCTGTGAATCTTAACAAGGGCAGTCTAACCCATCTTTCTCCTCAAGAGCAGCTGGTGAATTTGAATCACCAACCTCTGGGTTAGCCATCTAACACATGATGCACTACACCACCAGGGCCCCTTTCAGTTAGTTCAGTTAGTATGTTCTCTTTTCTTCTCCCTTTAAGATTCACATTTTTATCCCTTGAAAAATTAGAGCCTGAATTCACCATTGTCTGAGACTTCTTTTGGTTTTCTGAGCAGTTCATGGCGATTTCAATATACAGTACTCCTAGGTGTCAAAAACAATGAAAACAATATGACCACTCTGACAACATTTTTTCAAAGGCAGTGAATACACCAAAGGGAAGCTAAGCTAAATGAAGCATTCTTAAAAAATCATAAGGAGGGAAAAAAGGAATCTTTAAAAAAAGATATCAGAATTGCTCAAAACAGCTTCTCATCATCAAATGGGCACTAACAAGCACCTAGGTAGTTGTGGACCCATTCAGGCAGAGTGGAGGCATAAGGAGTTGCTTGTTTTAAAATATTCTTATAACATGAAAACCAGAGACCACAATTTGGTTCATATAACAGTCATGTATCTTTCTCCCCTATATTCAAATATCAAATTATAAGCCAAATGTTTATATTCTTTCAATCTCTAGAGGATTGATCTTCAATAGTAATGACACCAGAATGAGGGAAGAGCATGGCAGGAAGGTAACTGAAGGGTGATACCTGTTTCAGAGTGGGATGGAGCCAAATCCACAGCTGCCTGCCCTCTGAGGTGTCATCAGACCCGCACTGGGACTTCCAGATAAATGTGACAGGACCAAGCATTTCTCTCGGGTATTTATTTGCCCGGTAAAGCATCAGACTACCTTGCCGTTTTCCAGATACACACTGCACAGCTGCAAAAGTCAATCCTGGAAATAACAAATGTAAAACTCCATGATTCCAATTGCTAAGACAGCACTATTCCTTCAAGGTACCTATTATTATTTGCTATGTTTCCCAGAGGGATGAAGTTTTGGTTGTAATCACTGCCTCTACATCAAAGGTTAACACATATATATGTTCTCAATAAATATTTACTGAGTAAAAGATTTAATGTTTCAGCTTTCCACCTAAGTTCACACTACTCAAATATACTAGGTCTGTCATGTTCCACTTGCCAATGTTAGAAATGATTTAAAAGCCCCAGGATATTTCCTTAAGTTAAATGGGCACAAGAATTGTCTCGAGTGTATATTTAAATATTTTAATGTATATTTAAATTTCAAAATGCTCATAGCAGACACCCAGGAAAATGAAATCAATACATAAAGACTAAACTAAGACTCAGTTTTAAAATAACTTTACCTGTATCTATGCTACACATCTGAGAAAGTGCCTTCAGTATTTCTTCCTCCTTGCCTTTCAACTCCAAACAACAGTAGTAGGACAAATCCTGCACAAAATGAGAGATAAATGGTATTTACACAGGGTCAAGTGGCTAAGATTTCAGAAGAAGCCTACTAAGTGCCAAGACAGAAAAAAATCTCCCAAGTCTTCTTTTTCTAAGACAAAATCTGAAATCTGCTAATTCCTTATTCCACCAGCAAAAATTGTAAGTCAATTTGAATAAAAATGAAATAGTTTACATTACTCATTTAAAATGGGACTCTACAGTGTTTTACTTTTTTAGAAAGACAATCTGTCCTATATCCTATATTCACAAACAAGTTCTAAGAAGGGCATAAAAACTGCTAAGGAAAGGTTTACTGCTCCCCAGGAACTGAAGAGATTCCTTGTAGAAGAAGTAAAACAACAATATATTCTGAAAACTGTGCTAAAGTTGCTCAGTTTGATTAGCTAATTTTGGACTCAACATTAATTAACACCAAAGCCTAAAGACACAATGTAAAAATTCATTTATCCCATATCCGCCCCATCTTTAGTCTTAAACTATGACATGCATCTAAGTAACTAAGTAACAATATATGAGGAAAACTGAAGAGTAAAATGATACCAAGCTAACTAGCTGAAGATAGATTAGACTGAGTTAGTAAATCAGTATGTTAAAGAACTGTAGTAATTGTTAATATTTACTGAAGAGTCATTGGGTTTAAACTCCTTGACCTATTAATTTTCCCAACAACCTATTAACTAACATTACTATTATTATATCTGATAGAGGTTGTTACTTAGAGGAACCAACACCAGGAATATTCATTTTTTAATGAAGGTCTTTCTGTAAAGAGCAGATTTCTATAAATGTACTCAAAGACATAGGTTATCAACTTCATCAGCTATCTGCAGAGTTGGGAGGTGGGGTCAAATAAATACTACTAAGAGGCTCTACAGGAGGTTTTGGTGGCACCATGAGTTAAACGTCGGGTTGCTAACTGAAAGGCCAACAGCTGAAATACAGCAGCTCTTTCTCTGGAGAAAGAGCTCATAGATTTACAGCCTCAGGAGTCCAACAGTAGACTAAAATAATGCAGAATCAATTCAATGGCAGGATTCTGCTTTGCTTTCTAAGAGCCTATATAAAAGGAATGTTGTCGGGCAATAGTTAAGGGCTCAGGAGTTGGTAGCTTAAACCTACCCATGACCTCCTTGGGAGAAAGAAGTGGCTTCCATAAAGATTACATCTACTCAATCACATGTGAGAACTATGAGTTACAGTCGACTCAAAAAGCACTTCTAACAAATGAATGGATAGAGAAACTGTGGTATAGTCACACAATGGAATACTACGCTGCTCTGAAAAACAAGGAACTCGTGAAATACACAAAATGGGTGACCCTGGAGGACATTACGCTGAGTGAAATATCTCAGTCACAAAAGCACAAGTCCACAGTCCACTGTTGTAAAACGGGACTGACATTGGGATTGAGGGGAGCCTGAGAAAGATGGGATAAATTATGTATACTGCATTGAAAGAGATGAGGGAGAAAACTGTTTAAAAGGGATATGTGATTAGGTACTGTCATGCCAGGAGTCCAGAACAAAGGTTGCATAGTGGAGTGGACTTTGGGGGAGGGATTATATAACAATGAAAGAATTTTTCTTATACTTTTCAAAGAGAAGTGCGATCTGGGGGGGGGGGGGAGCAGGAGAAAAAGTGCAACAATGAATGAATGAAAATCCAAACTCTAAAAATTTTCATTAAAATTAATAATAATAATAAATTTTAAAAAAAACCTCAAAACCCAACATAAAAAACATCAAGAAGCTTTAAAACAAACTTTCCTTGTAAAAAGTTTAAAACACTTTCTCCAACATCCCACTATACCCAGGGCAGTATTTTCAAGACTGTTCTGGGTATGCAACAGATTCTCAAGTATTTCTTGTTGATAAATAACTAATCACTAAGAATCTGAAACATGGCTGAAAAGACCCTGCATGACCTGATTCCTACTTATTTCGGCAGCCCAATCTACTGCTGGTGTACTTCTAGTGTCACGCCCTTCAACTCTGTCACACAAAACTTCTCTCAATTCTTCCCTCATCAAGTTTCGTTCTGTCTCCTTACACAATTTTTCATATTCCTTACAACTACATTCAAACCTGAGTCTTCCTTGTTCCTGTTATCAATGTTGGTGGTGTTGGTCAGCTCATCTCACTGAGGGTCTTTCTCTTTAGTGCCCCTCTGCTTTATAAAAGTGTAACATTCTTCTTCAAACACCACTGGCTCCTCTTGATAACATTAGCTCTATCACAGGTAAAACAAAGTCTTATTATCTTAAGGAGCATTCTTGTCACTCTTTCCATGACAGATGTTTGTCCTCTGGTAGAGAATATTCTATATTCTTCATTAACATGATAATTCAAGGGCAAAGAGGACTCTCACAGAAGGTTTGCACAATGCAGTACATAAACGCTCATCCTGCGTACTTTTCCGTATAGTCAAATATTTGGCTATTTGCTACGTGTCAGTCTCTCCGCTAATTTAGACTGCTTACTCTCCAGCATCTAGCAAAATACCTTGCACTCAAACATAACTTTTAAAAACAGTAACTTTCTAGATTAGGCTTCACCTAGAACTATTCTTAAAGCTTGTACTGGAAAGAATCTAAACAAGACCGAACTGGAAAAGTGTACCTGAAGGAGGCAGTGGTGAGTCATGGCTCGATAGCAGGCCCGGTGGCTCTTGACCGTTGGCCTCTCCCCGAGGCAGTAGCCCCACTTCTTGACCATGTGAAACCGTTTGGCGTGCCAGATGTGCGTTTCTAACCACATGTTCTTCTTCTGTCTTCGGTTAAATTCTAGCAGTTTGTTTTTGTGACATCTTCGAGCTTTATGGCACTTATTTTTTGAATGTTCTTTTTTCTGGTGCACTGCTTTCTCGGCCTGTATTTTCAAAAAACAGAAGATGGATTCTAGTTTGCAAGTATCTCAAAATAAAGGAAAAATGTTACAAGCCTAAGTCAACTCAGTTTAGATTCTATGTTGTACCTTATACAACTCCAGAAGCATACTTAGTTTTTTAACACATTTCATTTCAGTTAGGCTACTGTCGTGAAAACAGAGAAAAGAAGGCAATAGACTAAAATTTTAAGAGTTGGGGAAGTCTAGGAAGGAATGATAGTTTATCTTTTACAGAGTAAACTTCATATACTATAAAGACTATATTTCTAAAATTTCCAACTGGTTATTAATAACCTGCACTGTATCACCTCAGGAGAATGACCTGGTGATCCACTTCTGTTAAGTTTATGCCCAAAAAAACCTATGGCACAGTTCTACTCTGTCACATGGGGTTAAGAGTAGAAATTAATTCAGCAACATTACTGCATAGTATCACTGTTGTAAAATGGGACTTACATTGGGGCTAGGGGGAGACTAAGAAAGATGGGTTCAATAATGTATACTGCATTGAAACAGATGAGGGAGAGAATTTTGCCCTTAAATTATCATGTTAATGAAGAATATAGAATATTCTCTACCAGAGGACAAACATCTGTCATGGAAAGAGGGATATGTGATTAGGTACTATTGTCATAACAGGAGTCCAGAACGAAGGCTGCATAGTGGAGTGGACTTGAAGGGAGAGATTGTATCACAATGAAAGACTTTTTCTTTTACTTTTCAAAGAGAAAAGCGATCTGGGGGAGAGGGGTGGGCAGGGAGAAAAGTGCAACAATGAATGACTGGAAATCCAAAGTCTCTGTAAATTTTCATTAAAATTAACAATAATTAAAAAAATTTTTTAAAAAGACAAATTAATATATTAAGTGCTTGTTTTAAACCTCTTTAACTAAAACCGAAGCTAAAGATCAAAATTATAAAAGTGGGAAAACACACATTTCACTTCAATTAGGCTACTTACAGACCCGTGCTAAAGCAAGGGACCACATCTTAACTTTAACCCTAGAAAGAACAATTCCTGGTTAGCTTTTAGCTTTAACTTACTACTCTCATTTACATCTAATCTGAGTATCTGTGTTAAAAAAAAATTCCACTAGAGTTTGTGAGGCCTTTAGGGTAAAGACTTAACGCTCTTAAATACTATTCCCACTACCCAGCATGGTCCCTGATACACAGAAGTCATGCAATAAATAAACTGTGAATCAATTAATAAAGGTAACAGGTAACCCAGTCAGTCTTAGAATGATCAAACTAATAAGGATTTTTGTAATAACTGTTACACTATGGAAACAAGTAAAACAATTAGACTTGGACAAAAATGAAATCCCAAGTTACAACTGTCAACCTCAGAAAACTCAAAAGGCAAATGCTAGACACTGACACTGATTATCTACCTTCCAACAATAAGTTAGTCACAGTCACAAAATGCAGAACTAAAACAGCTTTACTGGGAAGGGCAAGTTTTATTCAAAATCTGGTAGGGGAACAATTATGTAACATCATTACTATATACAGAATGGTTCACATTTTCATCAAAGACTCTACAGAAGAATCTTTATCAAAAGGGAAAAAAATGCAGAACAGAATTAAATTTTCACAGAATACAGACTTAATAGAGCCACTGAAGGTAAGCAAATCCTCCAAAACTATTGTTCTAGCATAAAACCAAACAATTATTTAGCTTAACTAGTGAAAAATATATGCCTTGAACATTGTGTTGTTTTAAGAACTACTTATTTGGGATCAAATGGACAACAAGAACTCAAAAGATTACATGAGAAAGTTAGGGGGCAGTGAGTTTTATATTAGTGTGGGAGAAAAAAAATTTAAAAAAGAAGAGTAAAACAGTTACATAGCTTTAAGAATTAATCAATGTCAGATGGACCGGGAAGAGACCCAGGAAGAGCAATAGTCAGCCACCCACCGCGGAACTCCAGAGGAGCAAAGACTACCCGCCACTGTGAGACCCCCCTGCAGCCCGCACCTGTGTGACCCCCCGACACACAGGGTGCTACTGCATACACAACCAGCAGCGCCCAAGCCCCACCCCCACCTCTTGGTGGTAGTGTCCAAGCCCTGCGCTCCTTAGGTCCCCCCTAGTCCCTTGCTTTCCTCCCCTTCCCCCCCCTTCCAGCTCGACAACCGTGCACCTCAGCCCCCACCACAGCCCTGTGACCTCAGAGCACCACCTCGGATCCAGCCATCACCCAGAGCTATCAACCGAGCTGTTGTGGAACTAACAGCTGTTGTGGAACTAACGCGGCAGAAGAAAGGCCTGTAGGATCTTATCTGTGTTTGCTGGGGCTGATTATCTGGGAGAGCACTTAAGGGCGTGCCCACAGGTGGGGAAATTGGCCGAGCTCTCTTGGGTTTCCACCCAAAATGAGCCAGCCAGCTGGCTTCTGTGAATTCTGCAGACCAGCCAGAAGCTAGTGGGTTGGTGGGAATTTGACCTTGACTATTCAGATCCTGTGGGATCCAGGACCCTGCTGGAGGAGGGGCTGTTGTGTGAGGGCACCTGTGTAAGTGCCACCAGGCAGGGAACACTGAGAAAACCATTGGGTAGGAAACGGACAACAGGAATTTGAGTAAGGACCCCAGTCGTGAGCACACTGAGACAGCAGAGGTTTGAGCAAGGTCCTCCA